TAGCGGAATTCTCGTATAACAACAGTTATCATGCGAGCATTGATCGACCTCCTTTTGAGATGTTATATGGCAGGAAGTGCAGGACCCCGATTTGTTGGGGCGAGGTCGGTCAGCGAGTCATCGGGAGCACCGAAGTGGTGCTCAAGACGACTGAGTTGATCCAAGGTCCGTAGTAGGCTGCAGACTGCGCAGAGTCGGCAGAAGAGCTACGCCGACAGGAGGCGTTCGGACTTGGAGTTCCAGGTGGGAGATATGGTTCTTCTGAAAGTCTCACCTTGGAAAGGTGTCATCCGGTTCCGGAAGAGGGGCAAATTGGGCCCCAGATTTATTGGTCCCTTCAGGGTTTTGGCCCGGGTGGGTCGGGTTGCTTATCGGTTAGATCTCCCCGAGGAGCTTAGTCAGATCCACAACACTTTCCACGTGTCGCAGTTGAGAAAGTGTTTGGTGGATGAGTCAGCAGTCGTTCCCCTAGAGGATATTCAGGTTGATAGCAGCCTAAATTATATTGAGAGACCGGTCGCGATTCTGGATCGGAAGATCAAGACCTTGAGGAACAAGGTCATTCAGCTAGTGAAGGTGCAGTGGCAGCACCGGAAGGGATCTGAATGGACGTGGGGGGCTGAGGAGGAGATGAGAGCGCACTACCCGGAGTTATTCGTGGATCCAGCCGCAACAGACTTCGAGGACGAAGTCTGAGGCAAGTGGGGGAGAATTGTAACGACCCGTTCCCGGTATGTTGAATTATTGGTAATTGTAGTGAATTTCTAGAGGGACTCGGCGAGTTCTAGCCTGACTCGCCGAGTTGGGTCGCGTATTTTGTGCACGCGGGAGCCGGGGACTCGGCGAGTCCATCTGTCTGGGTGAAACCCTAAAATCCCCGGGTTGCCCACTATTTAAACCACCTTATAGCCCCCATTCTCGCCTCCCTCACCCTGAGAACACAGTGTTAGGGCCCCAAACCTCCATTGTAGAGCTTATATGTGTTTTGGTGCCTTTTGTGAAGGTGTGAAGAAGGAGAAGAAGGAAGAAGCAAGGAGAAGTGTTGTAGTGCAAAGATCCAAGGCCAAATCAGAGCTAATAGAGGTATTTTCGGAGTTCCATCTTGTTATATGCTTTAAACTTCCATTAGAGCTCTCCCCAAGAGCTAGTTGATGCTTGTTTCAAGCCTTACACTTGCATGAATGTCTTATTAAGTCGGAATATCTATGGATCTGAATGTTGGGGTGTTGTAGAGCCCAGATCTACTGTCTTTTTGGAGTTATATTGCATGATAACCATAGATCTACCCATTTTATGCATCTTTTAGCCTTATTTCCCTTATTCATGAGGTTGTGCACGTAAAGTTGGAAACTTTACGTGGTAAAACAGCTTATTGGACTCAGATCTATCAATTGTATGCATTGGATTCAAACAAAATCAAGTAGAAATCAGTTGCATGGCGGCGACTCGGCGAGTCGGAAGAACGACTCGACGAGTCGGGTCGCGAGTCCCGAGTCCTTCAGTTTTATCAGTGTCGAGTGTACGAGGTGAGTTAGAGAGTGGACTCAGCGAGTTGAGAGTGGACTCAGTGATGGAGGGACTCGACGAGTTTGTTCATACAACTCGGCGAGTCCAAGGCAATCTTCTTGGGATCAAGAACAACTCGTCGAGTCTGTTCATACGACTCGGCGAGTCGGATGAAGATTGTCTGAGTTCTTGGATCAAGTAGGTACTCGTCGAGTCGATGCCAGACTCGACGAGTAGCAGTGAGCAGAAGTGAAAAGTGAGAGTAGGACTCGGCGAGTTGGGTGGCCAACTCGGCGAGTCAGCCCAAAAGAGAGTTGACTTTGACCAAGGGTAAAAGAGTCATTTTACCCCAAGCGCAGTGTTTAGTTTTTGATTGAGTGTGTTTATGGACTTGTAGCCGAGGAGATTCAGGAGCAGCCGCCGTTAGCTTCCCGAGCCACACACTCAGCAGCCAGCTTACGAGGTGAGTTTCCTTCCAGTAGGAACGGGTCTAAGGCCACAATGCCGGCCCGTTCAGTTAGCAGTAGTTTCCGGATTTAGGTCCGATGCAGCAGTTAGTATGTTCGATGCCTTCGTGGTTCGAACAGGATTTGTGTGTTATGTATTATGTGTTCCGGGTCACGGCCCGATGTAGCATGCCGTATATGTGATTATGCTAGTTGATGTGTTATGCCATGCCATGTTCAGTCAGACAGTTCCGGACTTAGGTCCGATGCAGTTAGTTCCGGACTTCGGTCCGATGCAGGGGACAAGGTCCCAATCAGTTCCGGACTTAGGTTCGATGCAGTTAGTTCCGGACTTCGGTCCGATGCAGGGGACAAGGTCCCAGACAGTTCCGGACTTCGGTCCGATGCAGTCAGTTCCGGACTTCGGTCCGATGCAGTAGTCCGGACTTCGGTCCGATGCAGGGGACAAGGTCCCAGCCAGTTCCGGACTTCGGTCCGATGCAGTTTCCGGGCTTCGGCCCGATGCAGTGGGCAAGGCCCAATATGTGTTTATATGTTATTGTATGGTATGTGGTAGTTTGGGGGAGCTCACTAAGCTTCGTGCTTACAGTTTCAGTTTTGGTTTCAGGTACTTCCGCAAGCAAAGGGAAGAGCTCGAGATGACGACATCGCACACACCACCGCCTCAGCTTTAGCCTGGGATTGATTTAGTTGTTTGATTTGATGTAGTATGATACAGTTTTCCGCACAGTATCTTATTATGTTTTGGAACACATCACGCATGGTTTTATTATATGATACTCTGATTACAGTTTTGATTATATTAAAAACAAAAATTTTTGGGTCGTATTTTAGGGTCGTTTCATTTACACTAGTGATTTTACATCTCCTTTAATCGCTCAATGTAAATTAGCTTCGTATTGACACATGTGATAAAAATAACTTGAGTAGGTCAAGTTAGGAAACCTGGTGAGTATATAGGGTTTTCAACCCACAATAATAAAGTTATTATCTTTTATCATCAAACAATTAACCCAATTACCCATCCCCATTATCTTCTTTATCTCTTAAGAATTTACCATAAGAATCACTTATCACTCATTCCTAAGTATTCATCCTAAGGAATAGGCACGAAGTCGCATCATCGCCAAGGTTTATACAACAGGCACTAAATCCATAGATGTCAGAGTTTATACAACAGACACTAAATCCATAGCTACCAAGGTTTATACAACATGTGCTAAGTCCATAGCTCTCATTTATCGACAATATTATTCACGGGAATCCACCTGCAATACATGTCAATGGGTTTTTAGAGTGCATCCGATGAACATATAGTTCACAACACCTACAGGTTGCGTGCCTACTAGTGTTCCACGGACCGTCTAGATAGTCCATGGTTGTCATCCATACTCTGTTGAATGATGAGGGCCAATGTTTGGGTAAGTGCTTCTCTCATATTTTACCCCTCACCCTCATCTTATGATCTATATCACTGATCATCTCATTTATCCAACTCATCTTTCATCACATACCAACTATTTCATCTATCCATGTTTTACCCAACATTTTTGTACATATAAAATACATATATAATTTAAATTATTTAAAACCTGTAGAAAGCATTCATTCAACATCCATCTCAAATAAACAAACAATATATATTCACATAGCACGCATTTTATATAAAATACTTCATATCTATGTGTAAGATGAAAGTGACTACACACTCACTTGATTTAATGATAATCGGGCAGCACTTCGTCTCTTAAAACGATGATTTTCGATAAAACCGAGATGTTTTCTCCAAAAACGTCCTTCATGCGGGTAGAGTTTCGACTCAAAAAACTCTTTTTCTCGGGATCTCCAGGGCGTCGGGACTTGCTTTGGGTGTCGGGATGATACCGGGGGCTTTCGCGGTGGGGGGGGGGGGGGTGGGTTAAAAGTAGGCTAAAGAAGGGTTTTAAAGTGAGAGGAAGTAGAGTTTGTAAACAAAATACGACAACCTTGCTTTATATTTATAGGGGCTGAAACTCAACATTCACGTCGTGAACCATGTATGTTCACATCATGACTTTGATCGTGGTCATCCCCTAGGCTTGTCGTGTGTCTTCTAGGCTCGATTAATGTCTGTTTGACTCCTCACGTCGTGAGGATTGATGCTCACGTCGTGAGCTCGTTCCGTAGACTTGCCATCTGCATTCTAGCCTTGAAAAGTGGCGTTTTGACGCCTCACGTTGTGAGAAAAGAGGCTCACATCGTGAGTCCAGTCAAATTAGGGTTTCTGACACGTGTCATGCTCTCAGACAGCTGCATCTTCGAAGGTCATTACGAGCTCCGTTTTTGATGTTATTTATATCCACGCGTAGGTGGAGACGTACTCTACAACTTTCATTTAGACTCCTAAGGCTAAAAAATAATTTATCGTAAACTCACTTTTTACGATTCCCGGTATCGTTCCGGTTTTGTCGCGAAACTTCGACATGTCATAACTTATTCATTATAACTCAGATTTAAGCGTTCTTTATATGTACGGAAACCTTGTGGTATATAGTACAAATTAGGTAAGATTATGTATTCTAAATAATCTTCTAGCAAAAAGTCATTTTTGACGTTTATCTTCTTTAAATTGACTAGCCTGAATCTGCGGACGTTAGAATATAGACAAAACTGCATAAATGGTCCCTGTGGTTAGCTGAAAATTGTCACTTTGGTCCAAAAATGTTTCAACTAGCACCAGAGGTCCAAAATTTTCATTTTGTTGCGAGTTTAGTCCAGTTTTCTATAAACTTTTTCATAATGACTATTTTGCCCTTATTTTTTTTTCTTTTTCAGTTTTTTTATTATTTAATTACTTTTTTTTATTAAAAGAAAAAATAAAAAAGAAAATTTGGTTTTTCTATTTTATTATTATAATTTTATACAATAAAATTAAAAAAATTAAAATGAAATCTCTCTCTCTCTCTCTCTCTCCCTCTCTCTCTGTCTCTCTCCCCCTCTCTCTAACGTCACAAATCCCTCTTCTTCTTCTTATTCATATCCTACCAGTTAAAGGAGGTGGATTATCCCTCCTCCTTCTTCTTCATTTTCGAGCAAGAGAACTCCATCGGAGGTGGAGCTATTTTCCGGCCACCAAGAAACACCGATTATCACCGGTGCCACCTCCCTCTCCCTTCCTCCGTTGTTCTTTTCCCTTCCGAGAACAACCTGCCACTTCACCACTCACCACCACTGTAACCACCGAAAACCACCACTCCAACCACCCACTTCCTTCTGTTATGTTAAACAAACACCAACCAAAAGCTCCCAGTACTGCTACAGTCAGAGTTCTTCCTCAACCACCGCAAGACACCACTATCTCTAATCTCCTTTTTTTCTGCTGAATTGGAACAAGCTCAAGTTCCAACCATCGCCTTGCTGCCCTCCCTCTCGTCAAGCTCGTCAGAACAACAAGGAATGTAGCAGCAGAAGCCGCCAGATCAACCCCTGCCACCACCAACGCTGTTATTGTGGAACCACCGTCGCTGATTGATGTTGTAGAACGAAACGGCAGAAGCCGCCGGAGCAACCCCATGTGTCTCCCCTTCGATTTCTAGTCATTAAACGCCCCATTTGAAAACCCTAGCCGCCAAGAAACCCTAACTTTCAGATCCCGATCTCCTTTCTCTCGTAGAGATTCAGATGAAGGGCAACAACGATCGAAGCGGGTGTTTAGGGTGGTGCTACCTGACCGGTGGGAGGCAGAGGGGCAGCCTAGGCCGGCGACAACCACCAATTTATTCTTATTTGGCCGAGAGAGAGAGACAGAGAGAGAGAGAGAGAGAGAGAGAGAAGAAAAAGAAACAAAGGGCAAAATAGTTATTAGTTTATAAAAAACTGGATTAAATTCACAACAAAATGAAAAATTTAGACGGTTCGGCCAAACATTTTTAAACAAAAGGGATAATGACTTGAAAGGGTAACAAACTTTTGACTTTTGTCACATTTAGTCACTAAACTTTTTTTCGTTATCTATTTGCCATTGAACTATTGAAACTGTTCACATTTTACCCTTATGACCGGCTGTTGCCGGTCATAAGGGTAAAATGTGAGCAGTTTCAATAGTTCAATGGCAAACAGATAATGAAAAAAAGTTTAGTGACTAAATATGAACAAAATCGAAAGTTCGTTTCCCTCTAAAAAGCTCAATGACTAAATGTGAACAAACCTCCTCTTGTATTATGTTTTAGCAAATTATTTATTTTTGTTAAATTGTAGCAACATTTGTTGATGAAGAAATCTATGAAATAAAAAAAAAAAAAAAAACAACAAAACAAAACAAAACCCTAAAAATATATTAAAAAAAAACAAAAAACCAAAACCGAAATAAAAAACCAATGGTTTGACATTTTCCAAAATAATTACATCAAAATTTCCAATCTGCTTTTGGTTTTACAAAAAAAAATGAACCATTCTCATTGATGTGAATTATGACCATTGGTTTGGCATGCGAAATTTGTGACATCCCATGAATATGTAGTTACAACATCGTTTGAAATTGTAATTCGTAGTAAGGGGTTAGAGTATCATCACATGAATACGTAGTTACAACATCGCCTGAACTCGTAATTCACCACCTACAGGTTATGGGTCTGCTGGTGTTTCCACTAGGTTGTCTAGAATAGTTTGTGGTCGCCATCTATACTCTGGTAGATGACTATATCGCCACATTGCTGGTAAAGGTTATGGTATCTCCTTTCATCCTACATCACATATTCATCATCATCTATTTACCTAATTATCACCACCTTTCTATCATCACCTATCTCTCATCATTTTATTTCATCACACACCAACTATTTCATCTACCCATGTTTCATCCACAACATATTTGTAGATATAAAATAAATATACCGTTTAAATCTTTTAAAACATGTATAAAATCGTTTATCCAACATAGATAGCAAGTATTCAAATAATATGCGCACATAACATGTAATTTATAGAAAATACTTCATATCTATGTGTAAGATGAAAGTAACTATATATACCATAAATGCTTCATAACTTTGAACCCCAAGGTTTACTCTACTAAAGCTTCATATTCTCGGCTCTCTGAACCTAGAAGGGTCCATATCTATCACACCAAAAAGCTCAAGATAGCCCTTCCTCTCACTCTACACACTCAAGCTCGCTAGGGTTCTCACTTATGGGAAAGGTATTGGCAATTGAAGGCCATAAGTGCCTTTAAATATGGCTCGAGCCCAAAGATTTAGGGTTTCTGCCAATAGCGCGGACTCGTCGAGTCGCCTCATCGACTCGTCAAGTCCATTCATTAATCCGAGTCATCAGTCGCGACCTTACTCGACGAGTTGAGGCGTTAACTCATCGAGTCTCTCTTCTTAACTCAAAAGAAAAATACTTAAATGATGATACTTGGAAATCCGGATGTTACATTTTGTTTTTTTATTTCATAGATTTCTTCATCAACAAATGTTGCTACAATTAAACAAAAATAAATAATTTTGCTAAAATATAATACAATAGGAAGTTTGTTCACATTTAGTCATTGAACTTTTTAGAGGGAAATAAACTTTCGATTTTGTTCACATTTAGTCACTAAACTTTTTTTCATTATCTATTTGCCACTAAACTATTGAAACTGTTCACATTTTACCCTTATGACTGGTAACAGTCGGTCATAAGGGTAAAATGTGAACAGTTTCAATAGTTCAATGGCAAATAGATAATGAAAAAAAATTTAATGACTAAATGTGACAAAAATCGAAAGTTCGTTACCTTTTCAAGTCATTATCCCTAAACAAAACTAACAATGCTAACCAAAATATATTTTGTGCAATTTTGTCATGAATATACGATTAATGTAAGCCATAAACAAATTCAAAAGAATTATCACTTAGAAAAAAAATAAAAAGATAACCACCCCACCCCCACCTCTACCATATGCTATTGTTTGCCACTTCTAACAATCTAAAAATGGAGAAGAAGCACAAACGGCTGAACGAGTAATGAATAACTTGTGCGTGAGGCGTGGCAGTGGCAGGATACTACTCCCGAGATAGAACATGGTGGACCAGAAGGTCTAAAATCTTTGACGTCTGTACTCCCGTAGACAATTAAACTACCTTCTACAAGTACCATACAACCCCACCATCCTCTTGAACGCTCTCAATCTCCTCCTTCCTCCGCCTTCCGCCTATCGACTGGTCACTGGCGTTCACTAAATCATGTTCATCGCCACCACCATTTCCGCTTCTTTCTCACCAATGGGGATAGTAAAAACCCCTAATTGCCGCACACCGCCGGTTGTCGGAGTATGGGCGGAGGTTTTCCCTCCGTTTCTGCCCAAAGAAATGGAGAAGATTAAGGACCCTTTTGCTCGAAGATTAGCTTCAAGGATTGAGCGACTGCCTGTGGAGGTGAACACTCCTTATCTATCGATTTTTTTTGTTTCGAATTCGTTTTGATTTCTAGGTTGACAATTGACATCGGTGCTTCGATATTTTTAGTTCTTTTTCCTGTAAATTATGCTTTGAAAGAATTACTAAATACAGGAAAATGTCAAACTTACTTTTCACTTTAGGGAGTAATAATTGATACGTTGATTTTGAACCCAAAAAGACATTTCTGGTTCTGGTACTCACTTCTTTCTGTTGATTGAGCTTTTTGCATTTTGTAATTTTCCTTCTCTCACATTTGGTACTTCAGAAAAAAGTGTACCAAATAGGCATCACTGTACTCCATTTCTAGCTCACTTTTCTTGTCTAATCAAACATATAAAGTAATAATTGTCTTATATCATGGTTGATGTCAAATATATTTTCAAATCTGATGGATGCTTAATTTCATACTGTGTTTCCTATTGATTTGCAGCTTAGCATCTCAAATACTTGTGTTATGAGTAGTTGTGTGAAGCCAAAGATTAAGGACACAGACAATCCCCTTGTTCTACTTCATGGGTTTGACAGGTATACAATCATTGATTTCAAATATGCTACTTTCATAATTGAATTTACCAATCTACCCCTTGTTCTTCAGTTCTTGTTTGGAATGGAGATACACACTGCCACTTCTTGAGCAGGCTGGATTTGAGACATGGGCAGTTGATATTCTGGGATGGGGCTTCTCTAACTTGGGTTATCTTTTTATCTTTTTTCATCTTCATATATCGGATTATAAAAGCAAACTTGTAGTTTGATTTTGTTTCTTGTTATTTATTTAATTTTTTTTTACACTTTATCAGAAAAGCTTCCACTATGTAACGTAGAATCCAAGCGGGATCACCTCTATCAGGTTCCCAATCATCTTTTACTAGTCGAGTTCTTGTGGGCCCCATTTACATGGTATATGAATTATGAAGCAATGAAAATGTGATTGTGTTTTGTTTATGATTTAGTTTTGGAAATCCTACATTGGGAAGCCTATGTTGTTAGTGGGACCGAGTCTTGGAGCAGCAGTTGCAATTGACTTTGCAGTCAACCATCCAGAAGCTGTAAGCATGAACGATATAAAGCAACACATTTTTTGAATTTGATTTTGTATTATTGTATTATTTAGAGGAATTTATTTTGATGTTTTTACAGGTTGATAAGCTGATTCTGCTTGATGCAAGTGTTTATGCAGAAGGCACTGGAAGCCTCTCGAGGTTACCCAAATTTGTAGCTTATGCTGGTGTGAGTATGTTAAATAATTCCATTAATTTTGACTTTTTGACCACCACCTGAACCGATTTTGACTTTTAGTTCTCTGTGTGAAAAACAAACGCTAGGTCTCTGTGTTAAAGAGCCTCCCATTGCGTCTTTATGCAACTAGTTTGACTTTTAATTCTCTTCCATTCAACACATGCTTAGACTGGACTCGTGTAAGTTCTTTTTCTCCCCTTCCACTTTCAACACTTTCCGATTTTAGTCCCTCAATTTCACACCTTATTCGTTACTCTTCCAGATTGGACGCTTACATTGTCTTTTACCTTGGTGGGAAGACGCTACTGTTGACTTCATGAACAGTGGGGGCTTCAATGTCACTTCCCAAATCAATCAGGTTTGTTTTATTTCTTCATATAAACAATTCTTTACATTTGATTATTTATGTTCTTTATGAATCTGATAATGTATTGTAATTATTATTATTAATCACCAGGTTCTGAATAAAACACTTATAATATGGGGTGAAGATGATCAAATCATTGACAGCAAACTTGCAGTGGTTAGTGTCTCTTTTTTTTTTTATTTTATGTAATTAAAATTTATCCCTGTTGTTGAATATTGGTGATTATTAAATATTATAAGTAATATAATATTATAATGCAGCAATTACATTGTGAGCTTCCAAATGCTATAATTCGCCAAATTCCAAAATGTGGACATCTCCCACATGTTGAGAAACCAGATGATGTGGCAAATTTGATTAAAGATTTCATTGAGACGAAAAATGTTCCAGTGTTTTTGAAGAAGGAAGAGAAGGTATTGGTTCCTCAGTTTGAATAGATTTATATAAGTTGAAACTTTTTCAAGTGTGTGTTAGGATTGGTTTATCTTGTAGAGATTTGGGATTTTGTAAATAAGAAACATAGGTTTCCTGTGTTTTAATTATTCATTAGATGTTTAAAGCTGTGGTTGATTGTTTGAACTTTATGTTGCTAGTGATCTGTAGATCTTGATCTTAAAATGTTACAACCTTAATACTCGATAAATGAAAAACAATCACAACTACACTAGGAAAATCTTAAAACAATATCTGTACTGGGGTCTTATGATCTTAGATCCAATCTCAACTATTTAGTATTTATTTTATTGTCGAATATTTAAATATTTAGTCTCTTAAACCATAAGAAATTCGTTATTTGTCTATTAGAAAAATCTCATGCAAAGCTTAAAAATTGTTTGTTTAGCTTCAAATTGAGCCTCAAAACTTTTGTTTATTCAACACAAAATCCCGATGACATAATGTCTTATAAAATGTTACAACTTCATCCATTCATTTCGAATTAGGTAGAACATCATTGACATACAGTCTAGTACTATTGCAATCTTTTGTTTTTAGTTGTACATGTTGATTAGTAGGATCTTGTCTTTTTATAATTAGGATGGTTTCATCTTTAATTGCTGTGGTTTGGATCTATAAATTTAATAAAGTTAATTCCGATGTTTTTATATTAAGTGTTGCAAAAACAAGATTTTACGATAAAATTTGGAGACTAGTTCTTGATAATCTAGTTACGACATTTCACATCTTTAATTTGGGATTTTGTGGAAAAGAAGAAAACTATTTTAGTTGGTTTTTCTAAAGGTTATTATCTAGTTACGACATATCACGAACTTCTATTTAGTTTGAAAATTAAGCACTTAGGGATGTTTGACTTATCTTTTGAGAGGTCAAAAAGACTTTTGGGAAAAGGTTCAAAAAGTTAGATTCCTAACTTTTTCAAAAAGTGAGTTTTTCTTATATTAAAATTCAAAAAGTAGCTTTTAAAATGTTTTTACCAAATATCTTTTCTTTTCTATTTTTTTAAAAAAAACTTTTTGTCTCTCAAAAGATAAGCCAAACACCCTCTTAATAGAGCTAATATTCACTAATTTAGATTTTATTTTCTAAAATACTAAAAACTAATAAAATATAAATGAATAAAAAATAATTATAAAAAAATATATATATATAAAATAAAATAAAATAGTTGAAGAGGTTGATAGATAGCAATCATGGTTTTTTATTTAATAAAGTCTATACAACTATGATATGGTCTTAAGTAAAAATAAAGTTTATACTAAATCTGACTATTGAAAAATCAGATTTTTATTGGATAGTATTGCCGATCCTGAACTAATTGCATTGTGAATTAGACATCCTCTAGGGTCCTACTGAAATAACACTTGAAGATGTTAGTACTATAGAACACATGATTCTGTTTTTCTATTACAAGCTCATTATTTATTGAGTGTTTATTTAGTATATTATGTACTTTTAGACTTTTTCATTAATGATATTTACTTTACTCACTAATTTTATTTTTGAAATTTCAAACCTTTACCATCTTTTACCAAATATTTGGTTTATTATATATTTAAGAACATCTTAATTGTCAAATATTAAATTCATGGTGATTCAAAGATATATATATATATATATATATATATATATATATATATATATATATATATATATATATATATATATATATATATATATATATATATATATATATATATATATATATAGACACACACATACAAACGAGTAATGTTTTTTCTTTATATTTTAAACCAACAAATGAGTCTGCATGTTGTCGTGAATTTTTACGTGTTTTTGTTGGTGAGAATTGATTAAATCAGTGACATTTTATAAAGTTCAAAGTTAAGGGGTCAAAGTAACATTTAAAAAATAAAAGGGTGAAAAATGTATTTTTGAAAGTAGAAGAATAAAAATCATATTATATATACTATGAGACCGGAGATAAACACGAATGTCTAGAAAACAAAAGAGTAAAAATGATATTTTAGAAAGTTATATGTGAGAATGAAATTGATATTTTAAGAAGTAAACGGATAAAAAATATAATTTTACAAAATAGAGGGTTGCAAATGACATATAGAGCTTTTTTTTTAACGGCAATTATATAAAGTTTAAAATTGCACTTTAGATATTAATATGTTTGTACATTGTGCATTACCACTTGTACTAATGAATTTGTTTCACAAATCAAAAGTTATATTTTATATATATGGAGACTATTATAAAATAGTTTAGATAAATAATAAAATTATTTATCTTAAAACAAATAAATAAGCTTAACCGTTAAACCATTACAAAATGTATTTGTAGTCACTAGTCACCATGCGATATAACGTCTATGAACAAGATGTTCAAAAGGAAAATTACGAGAATCTTCGTTGAATTTGATCTTTTTATATTGAATCATCTATACAAATAAAATCCAAACATTCAACTGAAATGCGATAATTATTCCATGTATTTTTAATGATTGGAACTTCATCATTACTACACCAGTTGTATTAAAGATTTTGATCTCCCTATTGATGCCCAAGTGAGCATTTCATGCACATGCAAAGATAAAACGTTTCTAAATGTTTTTCGGCTGATCTAATGGTTTCTCTGCAACCAAAGGATAAATCGTGAGCAATACTATTATCCTCTATTGCTCAACCGTTCTTTCAACTCGAAGATGATTGAACATTAATAATAAACGACATTATAACATGACAAAATAATGAATTGAGATTATCAAACAGTCGATATTAGAAGCGATAAAAGTCAACATATATTCTTATATGTTTGACAGAACTTGATTGTTGGAAAAAATCAACACCGAAGACTGTTGGCAATTTTAAAATTTGATATGAACTACAATAATAAAATTTACATACTGTATTTCTTAATAAATAATGAAAAGAACCATATATTTATAATCCCAATAACGTTTTTAATATAAATATTAGCATAGCATTTTTTTAAATCTTTAATTTAGAATAGAAGGAAAACGTTATAATAAGCTTTTTTTCTATAATAAACCATATTATCGTTAACGCAAAGATACCAACAAAAATAAATCAAAACTACCCCAATTCACAATAATTCAAACGTCTCCCATCCAAAAGATCCCAACCCCCCCATGTGAATGGAATTTATTTCCCATGTTTTTTTAAAAAGGCATAAAGATAACATCTTTGTCATACTATAAAAGGAAATCCACATAATTTAATACATACGATAAATCAACAACCCGCTTTACACCACAAAATCTCATCCACACATATCATATTTCATATCTAACCCTCTTTAAATCAACTTGAACCAAATCAACCCAACAACCGAAATAATTGGCAAGATGAAAATGTTAGTAATTTGGTAAATAGACACACAACCACTGTTGTCATCAAACCCATTTGTTCCTGTTGGCCCAAGTCCACTCTGTGGATTCACATTGATTCCAGGCATTGTGCCACTCCCAGTTCCAGTTCCGGTTCCGGTCCCGGGAGTTCCAGTTCCTGTTCCGGTTCCGGTCCCGGTCCCTGGAGTTCTAGTTCCTGTTCCGGTCCCGGTCCCGGGAGTTCCAGTTCCGGTTCCGGTTCCGGTCCCTGGAGTTCCGGTTCCGGTTCCGGTCCCTGGAGTTCCGGTTCCTGGTGTCGGGGTTCCAGTTCCGGTTCCTGGGGTCGGGGTTCCGGTTCCGGTTGCTGGTGGTGTTGGAGTTGAAGTACTGCAATGTTAAAAACCAAAAAAAAAATGGTGAATAGCTTTCAAGATCATAATCTTTAGTCATTACAGATAAACCATCTTCTTTAAAGAAAAAGAAGAAAAAAGACAAATAAGCATGCGGTTTGAAAATTTGATCAACTTTGAACAAAATCATATGCAATGGTTTAAATTTTAAGAATATATCTTATGTCTTAACAGAAAGAAGCACTAAAGAATAGCTTATTTATCACTTAAAAAATGTAGAATTATAATTTTTGATACAAAGGAGAATAAGTAGTTGCCCTAGTAGCACTTAATGTTGAGCATATAGAGTAACAATACATATCAAGAAATATTTTACGTATCGAATGTCAACATCTTAATTAGATCGCAAGGTCAACTCGTATTGACCAAACAGTTATTTCTATTAGGGTATGATTATGGATCCATCAAACCCTAATTGTCAAAAAGATTTAAACCCGAATGCATTAAGGTACAAGTGATTAAAGCCTAGCTATGAATTTGGCCATTGCAAAAAAAGGGTTTACTTTTGTTTACTTAATTAGTTCAAAACAGTATAAAAATGTTAAAAATCAGATCTTTACATGATGTGTAACATTTAATCAAGAAATATGATCCAATTAAGATGGAAAGATATCATACCTAGGGTTCCCAGAATAACAAGCAGAATTTGCACCTGTAAATCATCAAGAAACACAACACAAATGAGAATACAGAAATGTTGAGAGGGTAGTATGGTAAATTCACAGGACACTCACCGGAAGGGGGTGTTTGGCTAACAGTAGCCGTGCCTGAAAAATCACAGCTCCCTAGAACTTGACCTTTCTTTTGATAATAACTATTAACTGCGAAATTGCAATGATCCTTGACTGTATTAGGGTTAGCACAAGCCCCATTTTGAGAGATTTGAGCACAGTCGGCGCCATGTCCACAAGCATAATCAATGTTCTTTTGAAGAACGTCGTTACTCAGTGCAGTGTTGCATACACAATAAGCTGCATCTGTTTTGTAGAAGAAAAATAGACAGAAATTGGATCAAATTACGGATCAAAATGCAAATCTAACAGGAATCCAATCGACAGGAAAAGATTTGAAGGAAGGAAACCATATAGAGAAATCTAGAAGTCGTAGTTGTCGTTTTAAAGCAAAATGGGGATCCAAAACGAAATCTAACAACATTCCAATCGACAAAAAGCTAAAAAGGAAAAGGAACAGATACTCCATTAGAGATAACGGAAGGAAAAATCTTGTTGCATACGTAATAATCTGTAATTTCTAACTTTTGGGAAGAAAATCAAAAGAACATAGACATATAAATGAAAACTAAAGCTAAATGTCGAAATCTAAGAGATCCCCAATAGAGAAAAATGCAACAGAAGAAAGATAGATTCATAGATATTCATTTGACAAAAGGAAAGAAAAATAGAGAAATCCTGTTAAGATAACAAGCTACGCCAGATTTTTCTTGTGGAAGACCCCAAAAATACAGACATCAAAAGTGTTGTTAAAACGAAGGCTCGAAAAGGAAATCTACGCGATTCCAAAATAAGAAAAGGTGAAAAACCAAAAACCCATATGAGAAGAAGCAAGAAGAATGAAAATCTTACTTGAATAACCAGCCATAGCCAAGAGAATCACCATGGAAATTGCTAGAAAGGCCATGATTGTAGCCAGATTGGTAAAGCAAGTAGCTTGTTTGTTTGCTTAAAAGGTTTACTTGTGAAGTACGGATGCACAGCGATTAGTGAGAGAGAATGGGAAGAGACAGACGTCGGAAATGGAGGGTTCTAGACGAGATCGACGGTCGGTGTGTGTGTGGACTGTAGACGTGTATAGGCGGCTAATTTATGATACAAATATAATTAAAAAAAAAAAAAACAAATTTCAGTAAAACCCACAGATCAGTGTTTCACCTGAAAAATCATTGAAATTTACTTATTTTTATGTAAGTCATGATTTATTTTTAATTAAGTTATTATTTATCTGTTAAAATCATTTGCAAGATATATATGTTTACATAAACACAATCCAGTTGAAAACAAATCTAATTTTCAAAATAGTGCATTTCAAAACATCTTCCCACGAAATAGTCCAAAACAATCTAATACGATATACTTGTGTGCGATTGGTATCACTATCAGCATAAGACTTTTCATATGCTGGTCGAAAAATATTACAAATATATGCATTTTGGTAACTGATTTTATCAAGTAAATAATGATTTAAGTTATAAAAAAAATCAAATTATCGTTTTTTTTTTTTTTTATAGTGTTTCTTAAATTTGTCCATTTTTAATTTGATATTTCTTCCATGATTTATTTTTTTGTTTTTTACAGAAATGCCATTCGATAAATATTTTTTTTACCTATTTAAACTTATGTTTGACCTGTATTAAGCATTTCAAGATTCAAAACCCGTTTTGTCCTAAAAACAAACACAAATTCAACCCCCCATTGCTTGAGATAAAGTTATGCTAATATTATAAGTAATAACTTAAATTTAAAGTAATGTGAACCAACAAAGGTACATATACTGTATTGAAAAGATTCCTATCAATCAATAATTTGAAAGTTCAAATTTTATGGAGGACAAAATATAAAAATAAGATTACCGGACATGTGTTAGGCATTTAAAAAAAATTCTTAATTTAGAGTAACAAGTTGGTGAAATAACTATGTAACTTCGTTCCAGAGATGGATTGAATTTCATTTTAACAAAGGCTAAAAAAAAAAAAAAACCACCCTTATTGAGAGGTAGTTGTTGTTAGTCGGTTGCAATGAAAACAAAATGACAGCTAAACATTTAACAATATTGATAATTATTGTTATACATGGTGATAGATAAAGTCAAAAGATTTTTACAATTAATCAGTGTTGTTGAATAAAATAATGTTTTTTTATAAGTACCACCCTTATAAAAAATGAACATTTAAAATTATTTTTAAACTACGACTTATATAACTATAACGGTCACTTACACTACCCCATCATGGCCACATGGGGCCGCCGTTGTTGGTTTGCCGACATTATATGTATATACTTGGATTTGTATCACTTGAGTTTCAAGGCATGTAACTTAATTAAATGATTAGATATGTTGTATTAAATATTACACAGGTTATTATTTAATTTGGTAGAAAAATTTATAGGAACAAAAATTAAAAAGATATTTAATTTCTCATGTAAAAATTATTTGCCAGGTGAAAATTTTTTATATGAATAAAAAAACTTAGTATAAAATAAAATAAAATAAGATAAAATATGTAAAAAAATATAATCATTTATCTATCAACATAAAAATTATTATATGTTTGTTTATTATATATATATATATATATATATATATATATATATATATATATATATATATAATTTCCATTTTCAATGAACTTTCATATGCATTCAAATATTCATTTTTTTTAACAAATTATCGGTTGTTTTGTAACATAACATTTATCTTATTCGTTTTTAGGTTGACATGGAAAAATAAACAATATCACTTATTTTTGTTTAAGTAAATGATATATTTTTCACGTATTGTCTTAAATCAAATATTTTTGTTTCCATGTTAGCTTAAAAATGAAGAAGATAAATATTATGTTACAAAACAACTGATATTTTCTTAAAAAAATAAATATTTGGATTAGTGTGAACGATAACCGAAAATATAAGAGTTTTTCTGTACATAAAAAATATAAATGTTTTTCTAAATACTATAAAACAAATGATTGTGCTTTTATTTCCCTATAAAATAACCATAAATGACTGAATACTTTGTTAAATGAAATGAAATATAGTATACGAAAAAGATAGTATTACAATTAAATAAAATCTCTAATGATTCTCATACAAACAACGATTATATCACAAACAACATTATTTGCGTGGAATGTATTATGTATACAAAGTATCTTACCTCACGTGATACTCATGTGTCTCATTCCTCGTACGTGTAATTTCTACTTAAGGTTAATGTAAATATAATTATAATTTGCGTATAATATATTACACCTTTCTAGTGGGGCCCAATAAATATGATCCATCGTCGAGTTTATTATTCAGGATAAACATTATTTCTTATCTTTTTTATAAAGGAGCCAAAGAGTTTTTCAAAGAAAATAATAATTTTTTTCGGTTTATGAAAAATAATTATTTTTTTGGAATGCCTAATTCCCAACTATTGTTTATAATTTGAAGTTTTTTTTTTGTCAAAAAATATTCTATTTCGAATTTGACCTTCAAATTTTAGAGTTATTTTCTATTTTACCTTTTCCATTTTTTTTTGAAAGAAATATCTCCTTATGTCAATTTTGAAGTGTTTTATGTCAAACGTTTTTCAATAAAATGGTTGATTTTATGCACTAATATCGTAGATAATTCACATTAAGTTTGTTTAAAGTTTTGTTAAACTTAAGTAAAAAACGATTTTTTTTCCTTGAAATTCCGGAATTGTTAATAAAATTTTCGACTTGTTTTCGAAATTCCAGAGTTTTGTTTTTTCGAAATTAGAAATTTCATTCCGGAATCCGGAATGTGGGTCTGAAATCTGGAATATCAATCCAAAGTTTATTTTTTTGTCAGAAAAAATGTTTTTTTTTTTTTGTCTGGAACTTTCCTAGCCCATGAGGTCCAAGAAACATTCCAAACTGATCAAAATATGTTGGAGTCCACTCAACTCCAAGATCACCCATAAAATAGACCAAAAGTGTCAAAAACCCCAAATGACAAAATCTAAAGAACTAGATAGCAAGATTGGAACTTTATACTTACAATAGTCCATAAATGTAATGTCTTTGATGGATCCAAACTTGAAGCATTATTCCTTGCATCAAAATAAGCTTATGGATCTTCAAACTTCATCAAAATAACATAAAAAAACATCCACAACAGGAGAGAGGAGAGAGGAAAATCTCAAATCTTGAAGCTGGAGGCTAGGGTTTCTCCCAAAGGGTCCTAGAGGTGGTGGAGGCTGCTAAAATTCCGAAAAAATATGGAACCTTATGCTTAAATACGTTCAAGACCCTAAAATCATGGGTTTGGGCCTGACAGATTACCACATCGTGGGATCTGATCCCCACTCCGTGGTGACGGTTTCAGCCAAATCCACCTCAACTTCACACAACCATAACTTCTTCGTGTCAACTCTGTTTTTCAGCTATCATTATATCCACTGAAAGGTTGACGAGCCCCACACTTCTATCTAGTTAATTGTTGCTTAACACATGTCGAACTAAAAACAAGAACTCATGAAAGAAGTCTGAAACATCACCTTTCCATTTTACCCTTTGACTCCAAAACACAAACCAAGAGCTTGGATCACATAAACAATATTATCAACATCTAATAAACAATAGGGTTGCAAGGTGCGACAGGGGATAACACGAGTTATATACCTGAGTCTCAAACTTAATCCCATAATAACATGAATAGCCCCTTCTTTTCCTTTTTCTTTCAAAGCAAATCCATATTTTACCATTTACACCGTCCATCTGAAAATCCTTGCAATTTAAGTTCGAAATATTTACTAAGCATCCCCTGCTTGACAAATTCTCTTCAACCTAGGTACAAATTTTACCCTTTTAGCCCAGCCATCCAAAACCCTTTCATATTAAGTCCAATATTTATTCTTTAACCCCCGAAACTAACATCCCGATAATTATTATTTGATTTTGGGCTATAATAATATAAAATAATAATAAAATTACTTCTCGGGGTTCCGAATTTATTAGTCAATTATTCTATTTTAAACGAGATGTTATAACGGGTATCCAGTGGATACCGGCTCCAAAAATATGAGAATTGGAACCAGAACCGATTAAGGCGGTTCCAGTGTCAGAATCGGCGGTTCCGAGACTATTCCGGTTCTGAAAGCGGATACTCTCATACTCTGTTCCGCTGCTCATCCTTAGACAAAATATTAAAATTTAAGAATAAGATTATCGGACATGTGTTAACTATTAAAAACAATTAGAAAAAGAAACTTTATTAGGTGTCAACTAAAATTGCAAGTAAAGTTGTGTGGTATGGGACTTTCAACGTAGTCGAGAGACTAACTTGGACACCCTCAATGATGATGAAGATTGAGGAACACCGCCCCGTCTCGTGTGCAGCCCTATTGCATGCTCAACATTCCTAACACCATCTTCTCTTTTTCTTCCTCTATTTTTTCATATGCTTTTCTTCTTACTTGGCCTCACAATGGCGTCTTTCATGGATGAATATTATCCCCCTCTAGGAGTGATGGAGAGAAGAGAACCATTGATTCTTATGTGACAACGTGGTAAGAAAAACCATATCGAACAACCTAATGGTTACTTCGTTCCAGAGACGGATTTAGATTGCATTGGGAAAAAAAAAAAGAATCTTAGTAAGAGATAGTTGCTAGTCGGTGGAAATGAAAACAAAATGACAACTAAACATTCAACAATATTGATCATTATTGTTATACAGAGACATAGATATAGTAAAAAAAAATTGGTGTTGTTGAATAAAATAATTTTTTTGTTTTTTAAATTCAAAAAAGAACATTTAAATTAGAGTATTGGTCATTTGGGTCGGTTGAATTCGTAGTTTTTATCGAAAGTAAAAAATTAATAGGTTTTATTCGTGAGTTCATGAAAACTAGTGTAGATACCCGTGCGTTGCACGGGTGAGATGGTGGATCTAATAAGTTGAAGTTATATCAAAATACTGCGACATGAAATAGAGAATACAATCTTTCATCTTTTCCTGTTCTAAAAGAATGAAAAGTACACTGCTAAATTTGGTTAGGACAATGCAATATATTTGTCTTCTCCAGGTTATTCTTTTGTGTGTCCCATTTTGTGTGCCTTTGAATGTAA